GACAAGTCCAAGCACTGCCGGTACCATAGGAACTACGGCCATACCACGAACGAGTGCGCACACTTCGGGATCGCATCGAGGAACTTATCCAGGCAGACCACCTCGGCCACTACATCCAACGACAGTCAGGCTCCCGCGGCGGCTCTGGGGGCCGAGGACGCGGAAGAGGCCGCGGATCAGGAGCTCGCACAAACCTACCCACAGGACCCCAGCAAAACTCCAATGGCGCAGTACAGGCTGAAATAAGCCAGGAGACAGAATCAGCCCCCTTGCGGGGAATAATCAACACAATTGCAGGCGGCTTCGCCGGAGGAGGTGCCAGCAGTTCAGCTCGGAAAAGACACCTCCGAAGCATCAACTGCGCCCACTCCACTAACTCGATCGCACACAAGAGCTCGCCTCCGATCTCTTTCTCTGAAGAGGACTACGCAGGAATCAGCCCTAACCAGGATGACCCCATGGTCATCACGGTAGAAATCGCCAATTGGGAAGTCCTAAAGACGCTTATCGACCAGGGGAGCTCGGCCGACGTCCTGTACTGGCCAACATTTCTCAAGCTCGACGTTTCCCACTCTCTCATCCAGCCGCATACAGAGCCCCTTGTTGGCTTTGCCGGCGAACGGGTCCACACCCGTGGATACGTGGACCTGCTGACAACCTTCGGGACGCCTCCGGACACAAGAAGAATCATGGTTCGGTACCTCCTCGTGGAGGCCAACACCTCCTATAACATCATAATCGGGAGGCCGACCTTAAACCATCTCGGTGCAGTGGTGTCCACCCCGCACCTCACCATGAAGTTCCCAGGAAACGACGGAAAGATTATCTCCGTCAGAGCAAACCAGAAGACAGCTCGGTAGTGCTACGCCGAAAGCCTGAGGATCTCTGCATCCGGCAAGGAGGGCAAGAAGAGTCCCCCCACCACATGTGATAGACTATGGCCAAGGCCAAGGAATCCAAGAGGTGATATCTTAAAAGAACCAAGAGGAATGGGATGATCTTAAAGACCTTTTCATTTGTTTGTACATATAGTAGTCTCTTGTATAGGTTATTTTGCCTTTGTATTTGTAAGGCACTTTACTTGCTTTTTCCTAGTGTTTGTATATTGTTTTTAAGGTAGGTTACTTGGAGAGTTTAGCTCCATTTAACCTCCCTAGTTGATACTTTCATTTTATATTTTTTCAGTAGGAAAAAGGGGGTGACGTTTAGCAAAGCTAGGGAGTGTGCTTAGAAATTGGGCCTGAGTTGGGCCTAGGCAAAATTTTGCATATTGGACTCATTTTGCTCCTAATTTTTCATAGATTTGATTTAGCTAGGTCTCATCATCATATGATGAACCTAACTAAACCAAATCAAACATTTTTGAATTAATTCAAGGAGCAAATATGAACCAAGGCCGCCTAGCTCTCCTACTTGTTCTTTGGCCGAAATTCACTTGTTACTCTTCAAGGTTTGAAGCTTGCCTTGCAAGCTTCTAAACCTTGGAAGGTTAAGGCAACCTTACCATGGTTCTTAAGTGAACCATGGTCAAGGTTGGCTTCTCCTACAAGCTTCCTAAACCGTGGGGGTTAAAGCTTACCCTACCATGGTTCCTAGTGAACCATGGTTTAGGATAGCTTCTCCTACAAGCTACCTTTCCCTATAAATTCCTAAACACTACACTTGTAATCACTTTTGACATAAATGAGAATCAATCTTCAGATTTTTCTCTCAACTCAAGAGTCCAAAACCGTGAAGAATTTCTACTCTAAGAAATTCTCCAAAGTTCTTCAAACCTAAGCCTAGGTTCTTCAAGCTTCTCCATCCAAGAGAAGTAACCGAACCTCTAGCAAGACTTCTTCTCCATTGGAGTTGCTTCATGGAGCTTCAAAGAGTCCTTGAAGGTTTATCTCAAGAGCATATTCGGTCCTAAGCATGGAGCTATTGAAGAAATCTCAATCTACTTCAACTAGTTCCATCAACATGCCCTTAAATTCTAATTTCCCATTTGTACAAGCGAAACCGTGCACTCTTTTCCCGCCTCAGTCATAAACTGAGAGGGTTTTTAACGAGGCACGCAGTTTTATTTAATAATACCATCTTTTTCGCTCACTCATGGCTTTTATTTAACTACTGCTTTATCAACCACTGTAAAAACGAAAATTGAACCACCATAATCCAATCGCGCGCACAAATGAAAGGTCGAGTTCGAACCTAAGACATATGAACATGCAAACCCGAGGTTGAATACGAACCCCGGTATCCCTGCTAAAGGTCGAGTTCGAACCTAAGACATGTAAACAAGTAAACTCGAGGTCGAGTACGAACTCCGGTATCCCTGCTAAAGGTCGAGTCCGAACCTAAGACATGTGAACAAGTAAACCCGAGGTCGAGTACGAACCCCGGTATCCCTGCTAAAGGTCGAGTCCGAACCTAAGACATGTAAACGTATAAACCCGAGGTCGAACACGAACCCCGGTACTCTTGCTAAAAGGTCGAGTCCGAACCTTAAGCATTTATGTCTAAACTCGGGGTCGAGTACGAACTCCGGTACCCTTGCCAAAGGTCGAGTTCGAACCTTAAAAATGTAAACCCGGGGTCGAACACGAACCCTGGTACTATTGCTAAAAGGTCGAGCTCGAACCTTATTTCAATCACTCACGTCCAAACCCGGGGTCGAACACGAACCCCAACATCGTCACCTAAAGTCGATCCCGAACTCGTTTAAGGTCGAGTTCTGAACCTTAAAACAAGTCCACGTTGTGACACGCCCAATTTCCAAAGGGATCATGAACAAAAACCCGGGGTCGCGCACGAACCCCGGAACCTTAATGAGCAGTCAAGACCGCTGCACAAACACGAGGACAACGAAAAACCTCAAGAAGGAACCTTAATCATCTGAGGTCGAATACGAACCCCGGTATCCTCAATAGAGGTCGAACACGAACACACAAGATCGATGCAGGAATGCGAACCCCAATA